CCTTGGTGTCCTGTGTTTTCTTTAACCTCATCGTCCCTCGCCGGACTCGGCTCCGATTAGCCGGACGCGGCAGCAAGCGACACCTGTTGGCCCTGCAACCTGCCGCTGACCCTGGCACCCTATGCTCATGACTGTGCCTCTGCCACTGGGGATCTTGTGAAATTGGCAATCTGGAGCTTCAGGGAGCAAAGATGGAGAACCTAAGAAGATCCTAATCTCACCCACTCCAGTAGGCATACTGTAAGTACAACTACCTACAAAAAAGTTTCTGCTGAAAAAAAATCCTGAAAGCTACCTGAGCAACTGTTCCTCACAGGACCATGAGAAAAGTTTCACATGTAAGCAGACTGGCTCAGACTAACCTGTGAGACATGTAGCATGAGCTACATCCAGTCAGCGCTGAGCTCTGTGCTGTCCTGAGTTCCATGTGAGGACAAGGGAGAAAAAATGTCAAATTCCTGTGATTACCTGGACGTGTAAGATAAACTGAGTGAAGTAGACAATTTGCCTGAAGATTGGAAGGGCAAAGGACTGGAAGAAAAATAACTAGCTGAACCCTTCTATTCTCCCCCACCCCCAAAACCAACACACAGCCACAAGAAAGAAGTGGGAGATCAGAAAAGGGGGAGAAGCCTGAAATACCTGGGTTCTGATTCCTGAAACACCCAGACCCAGACAAGGTCAGGTGGGCAAACAGAGCTAGACAGGCAGTCAGGGGTGCCAGCAGCTTCATAGTGGCCCTTCCCTCTCACCCACCCCTCCAGACTGGTGAAACATTATGGGTTTTTTTTTCCTTTTTCTATAAGCAGGTCTGCACTTAATGGCAGGAAATACCATGGGGGAGCCTCCTCAAGACAGTCCCTACATAGGCAGCCTCTTCGAACTCCAAGCCCTCAGGTGGAAGGAGTCCTCAGGAGCACCATCACCTACCCAGCTGCCTCATCAACCCTGAAAAATTCCCAAACCTACTACTACAATTCAATCAGTTCTATTTTGCTTCCCTCCCTCCCTCCTTTCCTTCTTTCCCCTTTGCTAAAACATCACAAGGGAGACAGCACTCCCCAGTAAAGACCACGGGGATCCACTAGAGTCCTGAAAAGCAATTCTTCCCGCATCTGTTCATGTATTGTTCATCTACTGGTCAGTTGCTAGTCTGCTATTCCTGCCCATCTTTCCTAGTACTGGTTTCTAATTCTTTTTGTTTATGCATACAGAGCTGAGGTACAGGAGCAGTGAGAGAACACAGCAGAGACAGAGTGGGCCACACAGGCAGATCTATGAATTACACTGCTGAAGGGAACACCAGGAGAGATGAGAGGTCTATTGTACCATGTGGCTGGTAATCATACTTATGCTGAAGCAGCTGCAGTGAGATTCATAGTGCTGTACTTTAACCCTTTTTGCCACCAGGGAGGGCACTCTTTTCACTTCTTCACCCCCTTTAACATTAGCTTCATTACTTTCTCTTATCTCTCCATCATACTCTCTCCTCTTCCTCCTCCTCCCATATAACCCTTGATCTTTTTCTCTCACCTTCATTCTTTTTACATCTTTGCACCATTGTTCTCTTCCCTCTCATCCCTGCTCTCGCTCCTTATTCTCCTTCAATCTCAGTATTCATCTAAGACATGCTTCACAGGACCTAGAAGCTCAGCAGAGAAATACATCCCACTTAGCAGATTTCTGGAAGTTCAGGACTCAAGGAGATATTGGAGTATCACTGAGATATCAGACCCTAACTTACACAGTGGGGGAGGGGAGCCAGAAAAGCAGAAGTTTCTGCAGCAAAGCACAGCTCAGAATAACATCTACCGTAACAGTAGAGTATCCAGAGTTGTACCCACATACCAGATAGACATACCCAGACCTCAGAAAGAGAAGTCATTAAGTCATGTTTACCAGCACCAGCAGTACAGGGGCACCGCGAAACAGTGCAAAGTCGAAGGCTAATAACAGGAAGAAAGAAAAATATCAGTGATCAAGCAAGCCCTTCCATGAACTATACACATCCAGAACCCAGTGACATAGACACAGAAGAATATCTCCACCTAACAAAGAATTCAAAAAGGTCATGATAAGAATAATGAAAGAGTTAAGAGAAAATACAGAAAGGGCTAAGAATATAATCAATGAACTGAGGAACAAGAAGGAATACTAAAGAAGAAAGTGAAGGAATTGGAGGATACCCAGAGAATGGAACTCAAGAATTCTGGAAAAAGCTATGAAAATAGAAGAAATGGAAGAATGAATCAGTACTCCTGAAGATACAGAATTAAAAAGAACCAAAAAAGAAAAAGTGCAATGGAAAAAGAATGAACTCTGATGCCATGATGAAAGGAAATATAAGAGTCAAATAGTTCAGAAGGTGAAGAGAGAGGACATGGAGTTGAAAAACTATTCAAGGAGGTAACTGAAGAAAAATTTCAAGCATAAAGAACAAAATGAAAAGAGACATACAAGAAGCTAGAAGAACACCAAACTACCATAATGAAAGAAAACTACAGCAAGACACATAATAAAATTCCCAAAAGTCCAAGAGAAAGAATAAATAAGCTGTAGAGGACTAAGAAACAGATAACCTAGAAATGAAAACCAATCAGGCTGACATCAAACTTCTCTGAAGAAGCACTACAGGCAAGAAGAGAATGGAAAGTAAACTTCAAGTCAACAAATTCCAACCAGAATACTCTACCCACAGCTCTCCTTCCTCTATAATGGAAAAATAAAAACTCTCACACAAACAAAATCTCCAATAATTCATTACTAAA